TTAGCATCTTAACAAAGTTTCAACACATATTTCATTAACATAGCTTGACAATGCATGCTTGCGCAAGCAACATCGATCTGACAGAAAATTCCAGAAAAAAATTTCATGTGTGTACACAAGTTCTTGCGGATCCGTCTCGGACGCTACGTCTACACACATCTAATAAAAAGCTCTTTAGCACTAAAAATGTTGAAGTGCGTGCGTGATGAATAAAAATGTTCATAAGCAGAAGAAATATTAAAAAAAAAACTTTCATCATTCAAGTAAAAAAATCAATAAATAGAGTGTTCATACGGTTACAAAATTGGGAGGAAGTTGTATTTACCAAAAAAAGGGAAACTTCTGGTAAATTGGATCATAAACAAGTCTGTCACTTGAAATCTCAGTTGAAAAACTCGATATGAACGAGGTGTCATGTAGGCAGTGTTCTAGACGGAGAAGACATTTCTTATAGTCACCCGCTCTTTGAACTGAAGAGCACTTTGCCTTTTAATACTATTTAGGCTGATATTAATGGATGGCTAAGAATATTACTGTTCCATAATGCGTGTGATAATATAACAACGACAACAACAACAACATCAATAATAATAATAATAATATAGATTTTTTAAATTTCTAACGTGTCTCTCATTATTTGTCAACTTCTGACTAGATTTACAATAAATTTAATCTTAAAAAACGAAGTTCAGCGTGAACAAACTTTATTTTATTTCTCTCAGGACACATAGTGGCTGAATTTCAAAATTCAGTGCCCTTTCCGGCTGTGATTACAAAGACTATATCACACTGTACTCATCCTGTAGTGTTGTTAAGCAAAGTCATATCTCAAAGAATGTTTGTTTTAGGACTTACTTATTCTATCTTTAGTAATACTAGTCCCACTAAAAACCAGTAACCGTATTTGATGAACACTCTTTTTATATTAAAGAAATGCGTGCGCAATGAAAAACTGCAAAGTGCTGGTTGAGGCCCCTGGGGCGCCGGTGGCTGGGGTGGCGCGGGGGAGGGGTCCTCGGTTGGGCGGAAGGCACCCCTCCCCGGCCCGCGTCACCCGCGCATACCCGTCGCCCCCCCCCACTCCCCCCTTACTCCACTCGACCTGGAGCTCACCTCGGAGTAGAGCGGTGGCAAGCGAGCGCATTGTTGCTTGGCAGGTCATTGAAGCTTTCGCATTCGTTCAACGATTATTTGACTAATTTTTAAAACGTTCTTAACGATTTTAATTTCGTCTATGTCATCCAAAGATTATTTTTTTACTTTGTGTACGCTTATATTCTGAAAGAAGAATTGTGAAAAAAATTAATAATGTAAACACATTGCTCGGAAAATTATAGACAGCGTTAAAAGGCCTTAAAATTGACTCCATAAAATAAATTCAAATTAATGTTAAGGCACTGATAAAGTAATTTTCTTTTATTTATTTCTACAAACAAATAGCCATTTTATTATTATTTCTTTAACTTCAACTTTAATTTGCAACGTTGGAATAAATATATGTATATAAAATGAAATGAATTCCTTTTATCTTTTGAACAGTGAAGATGGCTTGAAAATGATTTTATTTGTGTGCTTCCGAATGGTGTGTGTATGTGTGTCTGTTATTGAAGCATATTCTACAAATGCTTCTAATATATAATTTGAGATGTAAAATAAGCATGTGAAAGGAACGTTTTTTGCAGTTGGCGTGAATGTGAAAAACAATTTTACTTCACTATATACTTGCTGTGAAAACATACGTATTCAAAAATACTTCCTTATCAATAACTACGAGAAGGTGTATTGTTACCCAATGTGTAATGTGCTTTGTTTTAATGTGATTAAAGTCTACTTTACAAACGTATACTCAGCAAAGCAATACAATGTACAAACACATCTCTAGTATTTAGACTAAAAAAATCCACACACACTTTTTGGGAATTGGCAAGTGACAGCACGCGACAGGGACAAGGCATTAACATCATACACAATTGCATCTTCAAATGACACCCCATTTTATTCGTAAGCTACAGCTAGATGGACTGCAAAATACCCACTCAAGTCCACTAAAAGAGTTGCAGATTTCTGCTTTTCTCAACTCGGCACATAATTAGCTCCACACACTATTCCTTTTTCCTTAAGAATTTCTCCTCATCATATTCTAGTGTTGGGTATGGAGACGAGGTGCGCCGATTGAAAGCTAAGAATGACTTAGCTTATTGGAAGCAAATGAAGCAAAGAATTGAATTCATTAAAATATACTAATGATGTATAACGATGTAGTATTGAAATTAAAATCAGTGTAACAAGAAAGAAAGGGGAAAGAGGAAGTCTAGAGAGAAAAATGGTGTGGAGAACTCTATACCTGCGAAGGGTAAACTCGAGTGTGGTCACTATTACGTAGTTCAAAGGATAGCACCACAAATATAAGACCGACGACTCCTTTCTGTTTCAGTGTACCTTATCCATGTGTTGGAAAAAGGTGTAGGCAAATAAATGAACGGAGATGATAGTGAATCGCGATGGAGTCGGGAGATAAGAAACTGCAAGATCTTGCCGCGAATCCGTTTCGCCCACTGCCCCAGCGGGTGTTCGAGCCACGCCTCGTAAACGAGGGAAGACGCGCAATATCCACTCGGGGAGATAGAGGCGGCGGAGGGGCGAGGCCGAGGAGGGGAAATTGCCGAGCGGAAAGTGCTATCGATCGGAGGTGTGTTGACCGTGGCTGGCGGACGCCGCCTGGCCCCAGTATTCATATCATGCCATCGCACACGACGAAACGCGCGTACGTCGTCTGGCTTTCGTTGGGGGAGGGAATGCATGTGATCGTCGCAACTCTACTCGCGCAGAGATACGCGCATACAAGATGCCCTGATGCCACGTAGGCACTGACGGACATTGAGTGCGGGAAAGGATTCCGTTTCTAAATCCTCTGATGATCTGATCTTCGAAAGTATCGTACATCCAAAAGAAGAATGAGTTGAGAGAACTACCGAGTGAAGATGAGGTGAAAGAGGAGTACCGAGATTGAAATTCCGAGCGTGTTCTTTCAAATTGTATCCAAGAATTCTTCTGCGTCTGGCTCTTCAAGAAACGCTCCAGAGCTGCGAAATGGGATTGTTCGTTTGGACCGGATTCCTTATTTTTAGAAATCTGTAAACAAAGCTTCGGGGTACCTTTATGATTCGACGAAGCTATGCTAAAATATTTCAAGCATTCAAACATTCATTGAATGTGCTAATGTCAACACACATTGTTCTCGAGGTTGCGTCATTTTTGAACAAATGAACAGCGCAAATGAGGATGATGTAAGAGAAGGAAGGAGTTTTTGAGGTATCTTGCTTCATAGTTTACGATGACAACTTGAATGAAAATCTGTCAAACAAGAAATGGCAGTTCGTGTAATTTCACCGCGGGAAATGTAGAGCCAGACTCCGGTCGACCAATTGTTGTTTGCTCCGCAAGAAGTGGAAGAATAAGATTTCGGTTTGAAGTAAATTTGTTTAGAGATTTAGTACAAACGTTTAATTGATTTTCTAAACATTTTCTCTATAATTGTTTCGCGGAGTGCGTCTAAGATGATAAAGAAATCCAGAAGGTTTGAGAAACATAAAAATATGAATGTGATATTTGAAGGTAACTTTTAAAGTGGGTAAAGGGAGTAATAAAACAAATTTTACGGAAAGTGGAAATTTTTAACTCGTTTTGTGAACGCTTCTGTAGCATTATCACATTAAAAAGACATGAAGAAATGTTGAGTGGAACTAAGAACGTGAAGAGAAGAATAGTAAGGCTTAGCATTAACGCTGAATTGCACTAACTTTGTGCTAATTTTGTGGAATGTGTTCAGTTGTCGCTATCACATGCCATCTTGCAAAGTGGGCGAATCGCCCATTCCCGAAGCCAGGCCGCACACCCTACTGCCGCGCAGCGCCCTCGCTTTCACAGGCCCACCAGGTTCATTACTTAAGGGTGTAGGCGTGAATAATTGAATGATGTAAGGAAAAAACCAATCATCAACATTTTGAGAGTGACTTTTTATTCTGACTGTACCTGTCAATATATTAACCTTAAAGAACCTGTCAACCGATTTAATAATAATCAGTAAGTGCATCTTCTTCAGCATTGTTTCTGTAATAACGTCTTCTTCCGAAGGTCGCGTATTTCATTCCTTTCACGAGCGGGGTATTTTAGGGGCAGAGAGAAACCCGTACAGCTTTTACTCAGGGAAAATTAATGCGGTGTTTGCCTTCGGTATAGAATGTCAGGAAAATTTGGCATTCGTGTGTTACCACACCTGTGAAATTCACCTGATTCATAAGCACGTGAAATAATTCGATTGGACAGGTTATCTCCTGTCCAATTCCATTCGAACGAATCCTGTTTGATTGGATGACGTGATCAATTCAATCAGCAGGTATAAATCAATTGATATAGTCGATCCAGTCATATTGTATTAGAATTAACGTAAGGTTAACGTTAACGTAACGTTTCGATGCGGTTTGATTCAATTCGATTCGTTTAGATCTGCCGTGACCCACTTCGATTGAAAGGTTGTGATTCAGTTTCGACTCCTTCGGATCAAATCGCATCCGATTGAATCAGTTCTATTCTGCGATTTATTTACAGCTGCTTCTGACAGGTCATCAGCTGTTACTCTGCCATCCAATCGAGAGCGTAAACGTCACTACAGTAAGTCACTTTGGTGACGTTCAACCTCCCGATTGGATGACACCGTAACAGCTGATTTACGTCTCAGGCAGCTCTAAATAAATCCACGTATAATGTGTCTGAAGCAACAGAACGCAGCTGGATTCGCTGCGCCGTTATATCTGTCCGCGCCGTCCGCGGGGGTCGGTGGCTGGCAGGCGTCGGGCGCGCTGACGCGCGGCGCGCGCGTGTGTGTGTAGTGGGAGGGGGCGCTTGAGAGTGCGACGTACCGCGCGCGCGATCGCCGCCATGGCGCCGCCGCCGGGCCCGTCGCTGTGGGCGCCGCTCTCCCACCTCGTCGCCTGCCTACCTCGCCGTCCACCGCCGCCGCCGCCCGGGGGCAGCCCCGCCGCCAGCAGCTCGAGGTCGCGCTTCTTGTGCCGCCAGTACTTGTCGTAGCGGATGCCGAACAGCACGACGAAGTACTCGAGCAGCGCGAAGAAGACGAAGAGCGTGCACGAGATGAGCCACACCTCGATGCACTTGAGCTCCAGCGCGCTCGGCGAGTTGTTCCTGCGGCAGCGGGCCACCCGCGCCGCCGCTCTCACACCCACCCACTCACCCAACCACCACCCTCCCGCTCGCACGCGCGGCGCCCAAGGCTGGAAGGGAAGGGAAAGGAAGGTATGGGAAGGGAAAGGAAAGGAAGGGAAGGGGAAGGAAAGGAAGGGATGGGAAGGGAAGAGAAAGGAGAGGAAGGGAAGGGATGGGAAGGGAAAGGAAGGGAAGGGGAAGGCAGGGGAAGGAAAGGAAGGGGAAGGTGAATGAAGGAAGGGATGGGGAAGGAAGGGAAGGGGAAGGGAAAGGAAAGCAAAGCAAAGCAGAGAGAGCCACTCGTCTATCACGCACGGTCAGTCACAAATCTCAGTCAACATAATCACCTTCACATTCTTCAGTCTTCTTCACGTCACATTCTCTTTAGTCAAAAATCATCAGTAAAGACCAGTATGTTTTAACTCTGATACTCTCGTATTCGGCACGTGGTGGACACAAGGACAAGTAAAATCTGTCTGATAAATCGCAACAATGTAAGTCCAACAAAATGAATCAATCAAATAGGGGACCAACCTCGAGCCACTTCACAGCGCAATTCGGAATGGAATTTCACTTGCTCGGAGATTCATTAGATGGGGGTGGTAGACGGTGAAATAGCTTTGTATTGCCTCCGAGCGTGCGCATTTGCATCCTTTGGAATGTCGCGATCTTCACCATCGTGACCCATGAAGATGCAGTAAGGCTTGAAGTCGTTTACGCTTCGAGGATTCATTAATTTGACAGTGAAATAAGCCTCATTTACTTTCAAATCAGCACAATGTTTTGTTGAATATTAGTTCGAATATTATTTGAAAATGGATTCGAAGTATTATTCCTCAAATTTACGACTCCGTTTGCGTTTAGCGGTTGAGACTTCGATGCTTGACTGACTTCTCACGCCAATGACGGGCTCGGCGAGGAGCTACGGTATCGTAGCGGTGATCCCTTGCTGAAGGTTGTCAGGTGTGACAGGTACTTAGGATTCAACCTTGATTTTAGAAATATATATCCCAAATTTAGTACGCATGGTGTCTTTAAAATAACTTAGAAAAGTAAAGCAGAAGAAACAGTGTATGCCAGAAATCAGTTTCAGGTAGGGAACCTCGGGTTAAAAGGGGGTTATTAGAAGTGACGGGTATAATTTTTTAGTCAACGTCCAAAGGCAATGCTCTGTTCATTTGACATGAGTTTCCTTCAGTTTGAACATGGATAGAATGGTTGACATGAAGAAAAAGGTGGTCGAAGAGGGGATGGATTTAGCAGGTCATGGGGTTGGGAGTTCTGCTGGAGAGAAATCAGCACACTCTGCCCTCTTTCACTCTTAGACAGACGTCGCGCACCCCACGGTCCAAATCTCAAACTGACAAATGGGATGAGCTGGCTGCTATGCTCAACCCAAGTTATTTCAGACATCCTGCACATGGAACGTGCGCTTCCATTGAAAACGACAATCGAATACCTCGAACTCAATTTGGTGGATCGAGGGGTGATATATAGAGACGTTTGGATAAGAAAGCCAGAAGTTCGTTTATAAAGTGGCTTGTCAATTTTGCTGGACAGAAAAAAAGCTTAGATAAAAAAGACAAGAATTTTTTTGATAAGACACTCACCTCTGGTAAAAATTATTTAAAAGATAAAGAAGGCGTGCCACATAGGGTAAACATCAAGTGCAATACATACGTAGAAGTCCTCTTCAGTCATTGATCGTCTTTTATGTTTCGAAGTCAATGGAAATAAAACGCAGAAAATGTTTTCGATACTCATTTACATAGCCTAAAAACAATGTTTCTTGTAGATTGTAAGCATTTTGTTTTCTGCAATTCTGAATGCGTAGCGAATACAATGTACATTTACTACCCGGCTTTAATTTCATGTTCAAGTAAAAACAAACTATTGTCACACATTTCTGAAAAAATTAATTCTTAAAACTCAATTTAAAGGAAAGTTACAATAAATACAAGTATATTAAAAATAATTTTTGTAATGTTAAAGCCTCAGATGCAACCGTTGTTACTTAATTATTATTTACCCTGTATTGTAATAAAAACGAGCTTTAATTTATTTTAATTTTCTGCTCTAATGACAGGCCTTATTTCATAAAGCACAATTCAAATGAGCATCTGCACAAAAGATTCTGCCCGCTATTCAATCACATGGAACTTAACAGACGTGAAGCGTTTGTTGCATTGCTTCCATTTCAGTATTCTCTGCACTGTAGACCTCATTACGAGCAATGTATAACTTCATTACTAGCATACAGCCACGTCACTGAGAATAATTGAGAAAGTTGCTGACCAGCAGGTCACAAATTAATTTTACTTTGTTTTAAATAACAGCAAATACTTTTTTATCATTTACAATTTTTTACACTGTCAAGTTTTCAAACAGTGATTTTTATTTTCTCATTATTTTCCGTGCTCAAGCCCGTCTTCTTTGTTACGTACGTTAGTCGGGGTGAGTGGTACGTGGTCATCACAACGATTTTTCGTTTTCAGAGACGAAAATGTTCGGTCACCCTGAGGTATCTCGACAGGAAAATATAAAATTGCGCAGTATTAAAAGTATCCAATATTACGTTAATTCTATAAGCTAAGTATTAAGTATTGAAAGTATTAAGTATTACACATTAAAAATTGAAATAATTATTAAGATTAATTACGTAAATGATCGTGTATATTTATGAAGATGGAAATTAAACTATTTGTTAAAATTTTTAGATGTAGGTTTTTTTCTATTTTTCCTGGTTTTAAAGTGTCGCGTATTGTCTTAAGCGCTTGGAGCTACGAAGATCCTCTTTTGTGGCCGGTCGCGTGTCGTCGAGTCGAGTCCAGTCGAGTCGAGTCGAGTCGTGTCGACTCGTGTGTCGTGTCTCGTCGAGTGGGGGTCGTGCTCTAACCTGACGGTGTCGAACATGGTGACGAGCGAGAGCAGCGTGGTGACGAGCAGCACCATGCGGCCGGGCACCATGTCCGGGATGACGATGAAGCTGCCCCACGACATGATGACGAAGAGCGACGAGGGCAGGTAGGACTCGAGCAGGTAGCTGCGCAGCTCGCGGCTCATCGTGATGAGCATGCGCGCCGTCGAGTGGTTGCCTGCGCACCAATCAGCCAAAGGCCCTCGACGCTCGATCGTCGGATAGACAGAAGCTTCAGGCTCACGGCCCAGTTCAATGAAGCTGCTATCTTTAGATAAATACAAGCTTCATTGAACTGGGCTGATGTTGCCCTTTGGCAGAATGTAGAAAACATGAAAGATCAATTACAATTGCAAATAAAAACAAATATATTAGTTTTTATTTGTATATATAAGATAATTTGTTGTTATTATATATTATTGTTATTATATATAATAACAATATAATAATTATAACTAGATTATGAATTTGTTAAGTGTTGTTTTATTATCAATATTGTGCATGAGACTACCAGAGATCAAAGGTGCAAGTGAGTTCATTGAGTAGTGTTTCTCGCTCAACTCTAATTTTTCATTCTATCCGATGTTTTTTAATCGTTATCTAAGTTACTTTGTTATCATGATCATTCTTAGTCACAAGTTCAATAAGGAAAAGTTCGGGAAAAAAACCATTAAACTTCCCATTTGTTGTGAATCAGTTCTAAGACTTTTGGAGAAGTGTGTTTTTAATGTTGAGTTTTTACTATAGCATGTTGTAGTGTATAAATGAGTGGTTCAGTACCAGAACTCCCTAACCCATGAAGTCATGAAGTCCCTTATTTCTATGAAGTGTTAATTGTGCTCTATTGTTGCCAAAATTATTTGTCTTTGTGAATGAATGAATTGGCTCAAAAAGAGTTTGAGCCAAGAAACCATTAATTCATTCAGTCACAAGGATTAAAACGTTTGGTACTTATACAACTGATAGTTCAAAGCCATGTTGTGAAGAAAAGTTCCTTCACAAACTAGTGGGTATAGCAATTCCGGAACTGATGCAAGGAATTGTGGTCTCGAGAGACCAAAAATACGATGACGTACTCGTATTGATAAAAAGTCTGTGCTATCTCATTATTTTCTTTTTTTAAATTTAGAATATTTAATTTTTAATGAACTTGGAAGAAAACAAACGGTGAATAGGATCTTCACCCAAGAAGAATTGTAAGCAAAGTGTACGCGAGATCACAGAACAATAAAGGACACGAAATCAGTCAGATCAGCGTGGGGTGTTCACTATTCCGATCGTCTGCAGAGAAACGAGGACATTAACTGACTACAAGGACTACTTTCTACTTTGGGTGCTGGTTTGAAAACAGTGAGAAAGTCTAGATCACTTCAAAGAAGTATCCTTTCAGTTTATTTCTGGTCTTCGCTTTCGGAGCTGACTCTCCCCAAAACGGATTTGAAAAAATGTGAGAATGAAAAACTGTAAGAAAGAAATTGGTGATGTGATAAAAGGGACTTGCAGCCACGCCGCTGGCCAGAGAACAAATAAGTGATCGCCAGTTTTTAAGTGCTACTTAACAATAAGAAGATTGATCTGGGCTGTCCGGGTGACGCAGCATCGATGGCTGAGATGCCGACGTTTCGACCGACATATCGCAGTCCTCTTCAAGGCTGTACTGGCCACCAGGGCAGTACAGCCCTGAAGAGGACCGCGATAAGTCGGTCGAAGCGTCGGCACCTCAGCCGTCGACGCGGCGTCACCCGGACAGCCCAGATTATGACTGGCCGCGGAAGCCTATGACATCAAGAAGAAGACGGCCCCATTCGCCCCCTCAGCCTGCGTGTGCAGAGGCTCACCTTCGCCGTAGTAGATGAACTGCGCCTCCTCCTCGGTGCGGAAGGAGACCACGTACTTGGGCAGGCGGTAGCCGTCGCCGCCGAAGTCGGACGGGAAGGACAGCGGCTTCTCGCCGTTGCGCCAGTGGAACACCACCTCCGTCATCGTATATTTGTCTGCGACACATCCACGCCCTCCGTCACCATAGCCCTCCGTCACCATAGCCCTCCGTCACCATAGCCCTCCGTCATCATAGCCCTCCGTCACCGCAGCCCTCCCTCACCCTTCCTAGTCGTGGTCCAGCTCTCGCGCGCACTCCAGGCTCGCCGAATCGCAGTCAACTCAGACTATTTAGACTAGTATACCGAGGTATTTGGCCTCTGGATGAGTGTTGCCAACCCGGGGAGCCACTGCGGTTATGCGTCTTCGCCATGCGTGGGGCCACCCCCAGTTACGCCCCATTCAGCCCATGTCACCCGCATGTTCGACGCCAATTCACGCCATTGCACCCGCGCATTCACGCCGCATCTAGCCCCCAAGTCACGCCCCAGTCGGAGGGGATGTTCACGCCATGTGTTGTTGGTGTGTCGCCCGGCTCACATTAGCAACTGCGCCATGTCACCGCAAGGTGCTACCGCCCGGATTCAGCCTCCGCCAGTCTCAACATGCGCCAGTGTGAAATCTATCACAATGAAGCCACACGGCGCGGAAGCGAATCTGCACCGCCATGCTCAGATATATGTACTTTCGCCTACTCAATACTCTCGATTGCGCGAGTTCGTACCAGCGTGCTTTTTGTTTTCAGACCTCGCACGGGCACGACGGTTCATCCCCCGCCACCAGTCACACCGGGCGTCCTCCTTCGACCCGCCCTCCGTGCCGTGACCAGCCGGGGTCCACCTATCCCAATCTGGGATCGAGGCCACGGGACGGGAATAGGGGCGGGCGGCGGCTAAAAATCGAAACGCACGTCAGACTTTCTGACCGAAGGCGCGATGGGCAAGCGGGGTCCGAAGACTGTGACCCATCCGGCCCGTATTTCCGTACGAGGCGGTAGATAGTCCGTCGGGACAGGAGCCGGCCGATAACCAGATCCCACAAGCTTACATGACTACCGAAGGATCCGCCGAGCCGACCACCGTGATACGGAGCGGACCTAATGCACATAAATCAACACCCATCAAACCCCCATAACTCACGAGGGATCCCAACTCAACTCGCACACTCCCATGGCGGGGTACTCAAACCACGGAAAAAAAACCTCACCCGCCAGGAACAAACGAGAAAAAAATACCCAACCTAATCTCGGTAACCGAAACAACTGAACACCCCCTCAGCCAAAAGTAACGCAAACCGCCGGCAGCAATTTTACAACTAAAAAGCGAGGAATCTGCCGTCGCAGAGCCAGAACGCAATAGACGGAGGGCATCTGCCGGGAGCCTGAGCGTGAACAAATTCCCTCGAGAGAAGCAATCCTACAAAGGTGCTGGACTTCCTCAATTCGGCGAGGAACTGGTGGCTGGCACATCTTACCGGGGAATGGGTACATTTTCAAGTCATATTCATAGAGGAGAAGAACACACGACGTTGCCGCGACATTGATTTTATAACAGACTTGATTTTTACATAGAATGGTACGGACTAGGAAGTCCAATCAAAGAGTAGGGTAACCTAGTGGGAACCATCTTTGACCTGAAACGGCCCTTGTGATTTTTTAAGTCAATGGCAATGAGAATTTACTTTAATTACTATCTAGTGGAAATAATTATCAATAAAGAAGGAATCATAAGTAGGTTTGAGATAGATTTTTTAGGGAATTTAAATTTTTAAATGCAATTTGGTTATTAGATTCCCAAGTGAATCACCGGCCAAAAACTAGGTATTTTACGGAACGGTTGGACTAGTACGATACAAATAAAGGACTTTGAATCTTTATTAAGGCGAATAATCTTCACTCCGCACAACCACCAATCTCTACTACCTTCAGACATTCCGTGGTTCCCCCTGCCACTTGCTGGTCCACCTTAATTGCATGTCGACTTAGTACACCAAGTTTCTCCGGGCAATGGGAATGATTAAGTCGTAATTTCTACACGTTACGTTTATGCTACCGAAAAACAACTAACTAGAACAACATTATGAAAAGTCGGTCTCGAGGAAATAATGATAAAATAACTTGCACAAACTTTCGCGCCAAATTGCGGGGCGGAAGTAACAGGGTGTAGTGATAATGAAGAAAAGTTTACCAATTCTAGTTAAGAAACTCAAAGGCTACCCAATTTCAATCCTACAGATATTTCTACAAGGGAGTATTAACAGAAAAGGAATCTATCCCATATTATAACTTGTATTCTCCAAAACGCAAATTGTAACTTTTCATTTGGGGAAACACCTAGCAATTCAGGGAAAAACTGACACCTGGCCCAGTTTACGCTTCTCTCTTCACCCCCCTCGCGTCCATGATCCCGAAAAGTCAACAAATTTCCGGAATCATAATTACATAATATTGAGAACATGTCCGGCCGCGGGACGTCGACACATTAATTTCCCCAGCACAGACCACTGACACTTATAAACCCAGAGCATCGCACCGCTGCCTCAGCCCCGCCCCCTTGTACCCCCACCCCTCGCTCCCCCCGGCGCACGCCATATACTGAAACCCACCTGCTCGCACACCCTCTTCGCCCGCGGTCTGATTAACTCCCCTACAGATTCACATCAGTTTGCCTCGGTTGGCTCGGTTACACTCCGCCTCTGGACGTGTTTTTGTTAAACTGAGAACATTGCCGTACCTGGATAATAAATGGAAATTGGTTTTTTCAAACGAAATGGAAACCGCCGTCTGGCAGAGTCCAACAAAACGCCCGATCCCCGCTTATTTAGAAAAGTCTACAATAACCTAAAATAAAGCATAGTTAGAAAACCATTACAAAATTCCCTTAATCGTATCCATTGGGATTCCCATAATCAATATTACCACAGATAGACTACACATATCAAACTCCCTCACACGACATACTCCCTGCAAAACATCCACCTAAAGCTTCTACGGTAAACACCCACCTGACGCCCGCCAGTCACAATCAAACTATACCCAACTAGATGAGCGTACAAATAAGCCCCTTGAACAGATAATTTCATCATATTCTCTATAGTACAACCAGTTACATTAAATCAGACCACCATATAATCGGACCAGACGTAAATACGTACTAGCTAGACTCACTATCAAGATCCCTGAAAAACATAGTGTTACAATCGAAAATTTAAGAACTGACCTACATAACAAGGGAAAGTGGATAGCGTTTAGCCGTTTGGAATTATCTATCCTATCAATGTGGAACTACTCATAGTAGCCATCTACAAACATTCCCACAATTATTCCGAAGCGCTGTTGAAAGCAGCCAAATGCCCCAGCCAGTAGCAATAAATTAAAAAAAGAATAATCGAATCAAACAAAACAGAGCATGAGAAGAGGAGCGGCGTTTCCTGCTCGCTGGACGACAGTGACAAGCATCCGCTATTTAAAGAACCAATTTTCTGGGGAAAGGCAGGGCTCAGTAATCCCAACTACTGACTATCCCATATGGCGGAGCACGAGTTGAGCTTGTATGTCTGTGGGATTTGGCCGACAGGGTAAATTAAAAAAATGACCGCAATGTGGTCAGTTTTGACTTTATATTCGTTACTCCCCAAGAACACCTTCATATGAAGTTGTTTAGTAGGTAACAAGTACAATTGAGACCCACTCTGAATATAACAATCTGCGTACTCAATCTGGCTGAATTTGTGAGACTAGATTTCATTCAAAGATCAAAAGCATATTTGAATGTTCCTTAACGCGTTATTTCTCAGTGAAGTAAGAACATATAGAAAGGCTGCACATGCGTTGTAAATTGCTTATTAATGTTCTAATGTTTCTGAAGCTCAGAGAATCTATATTGCAAGACAGAACAATGCACCTCCTCCTCCAGCTATGACATAGGTGCCCTGGGTGTGCTCACCAACTTATATCGTATTGCGATTAGTGAATATAGCAGGAGTTGCATGTTCCAATCAGTTCGGAAACAGCTTCTCCCCTTTCATGAGATACCGACATAGAGCAGGGCTAATTAGGATGCTTAATCCTAAAGCGAGATTTCGTCATATTATTCTACGAAAACATTCAATAGACTTGAAACCTTCTGAGATAAACAAAAATAGACTTCGTTATCCAAAAACCAAGTTTTCCTCTAACTCACCAGCGCAGGTCTTGGAATTGGTTTAATTGTATGCCTATTTAAGGGCCAAAATAGCTGGAATAAGAACATGCCCCGGATTCATGTACGTTTCAATGAGTCAAAGAGGTAATTTATATCCGCCTGAAATAGGGGAAAAATGGTAAAAAAGCGAAAGTGTTTGAATTCATTGAAAAAGTAATTAACTACCACGTTCCATTCCAGTTTGCTTCCCAGTCTCAGAACAGCTTCGATTTCAAGAAAATACTCATTGAACATAAACAAATAAAAATATACTACATGAGCCATCCGATGTCGTATCATCCATGCTTCACGTCACTCCTCGAATCAAGCGACTGGAATTCGCATCCTCTCAATGCACATCTTTGGTCACTTGAGTCCTATAATATACAGTATAAGCGTTACCTAGCGATGACCTATTACACTCTTTATAACTCTCAGTTTCAGCGAAGAACGTGATCGAGACGACAATGCACTCTCGGGCTGCACACTATCAACCAAAAGCTGCTTTATACCGTTATACACGGCATTGCAACCAGCCCGAGGACTGACAGCGAAAAGAACTATCCCGATATGTTCCATAGAAAATTAACGTGTGGACACCATGGATTAGATAATATCCAGCACAATCGTAAAAGATCTTCAATCTACAAATTGACATCATCAAAATACGTGAAGCAAAGCCTCTAGTCCACCACTTCACAGCGCAATACGGAATGGAATTTTCACTTGCATCAGTGACATTATTCCAGTGTATAGTTGTGTGTGTAGACGTTTAAATAGATTTTCTGTCATGTATCACCTCGTACCGCGCGACGCTGTCACATTCTGCTATCCCGATTGGAATTGCGAGCAGTAATGACCTTATATTCTATCTACCAACGTTTGAGCCATTAGGATGCAGTAATGGCTATGAATTAAGTTCGGTAGGCACGGAG